AACGACCGAGAGGCGCTTAGTGGTTAAACAAACTGCTCCTGGGGTTGTGTTGTTAAAACATTCGAAACAGATTTTTAAAAGTTCTTTGCACTCACCATATCAGATTTCTTTAATACCTCCCGCACAAAAATACAAGTGGTAACTTTTGTTCCAAAACTCTACAACCCTGTAGCACCTGTAGTGGTCCCTACCTAGTGCTTTGTTCTTTATTATGCCTCTTATTCAATCACGAAAGAACGAGTTTCATTATGTTCTTCCGATTCGGCCAGCCGAGACCGCAGATGTGTAATAATGTGGAGAGTCGCATGATTGTTTTCTTCTCCGCGGTGCAGGCATGAAGGCCGACGCGTACCCTGGGCCGCCGCCGCAGCCGCCGCAGTACAGCACCTTCTACCCCGTGCCACCACCGAGGTCCGCCCCCGGACCCGCCCCCGGGTCGCAGCTGCAGGGCCACCACCTCTCCGCCTCCCCCAACCCCTGCACCGCCAGGTAAGTGTCGTGTCGGCGATAGGTGGCTGACACTTTCGTGGTTTTACTGTACTGCATGCACGCGGGTGGGCGGGTTTTCCTACCCTCGCTGTCCACGGCTCCTTTTGGCCCAGTGCGAGTGGGCGTACACTTGAAATTATATTGTAAGTACCACTCGGTTGCCCCTCTTATCCACATTCCTCCGCTGCAGCGAGGCGACCTGTCGCTCGGCCGCCTGCCGCTACAGCCCCGCGGCCGAGGGACACCAGGACCTGGACCAGGGCCTCCAGGGCCTCCAGGGCCTGCACCACAGGGCCGCCTTCTTCGACCTGTCCGCGCACTGCTTCAGGTGAGACAGACCTTTCCCTTTCTACCAATCCTAACTGGGCCGTACATTTTCATCGAATTCGGAAGCGACCTTGGAATGCATGCGAAAACTTTATAGATTAAAGAGGGCCGTTTTGACGGGCGTCGGACAAAAGGACAGACGGGCGGACGGACCGACTGACTCGTGCGTGCTTCCGGAGCCCTCAAAACAGGCTTCGGACGGGGTGGCATAGCGTGGGAGCGTGCACCATTTCATAACGCTTTTCTGCTTGCGGCGCTAATATTTGCTATTATGTTATTGACTCTGATCTGCTGAACCCAGCGCACAAAAGTGAATCCCCCCCCCTTCTCTCTCTCTCTCCAACCACCCCTCTCCTTGTTTCTCTCTATAACTTTCTCTTTCTCCCATCCAAACCCCAATCTCTCTTCTCTTTCAAATGTGCCCCTTTCCTAATATTGATAAAAACAACTGTTCTCTTTTTATTATAAAACAAGAGTGACAGAAAGGGGAGCGCGCGGCGTTTCGCGTCAGACAAGGACAGAGCCGTGATGAGAGTGATGGTCGAGAGGGTTGAATGTCGGGATTAACGCGGCGCGAAACAGCGATGAAATTCTCTGACCGCATCAAACATGAAAATTTAATCTGAACCTCTTTGTTTGTAAACTGGCAAGTAGCTTAACTCAACAAGCGGGTGAGTGCGGGTGAGGGGTGCCGCTGGGCAGGGGTGGGCCGCCCGCCCGGTGCACTGGTGGGGGCGGCGAGGGAAAGGAGAGGGGGGGGGAGCAAGGCCACCATCACTTAATTACCTTCACCTCATCAGCTCCTGATGGCGGTGGTGACTCGGAGGGGGTGAAGGGGATGGTGAAGGACGAAAGAAAATGTTACTTTGAAATGCGACTTCTTCTAGGGAGAAATAGCAAGAGGGAGAGAGAGGTTGAGAGAGAGGGGGGGACTGAGAGAGGGGGGGACTGAGAGAGAGAGAGAGAGAGAGAGCAAGAGAAAGAGGGGGGGGGTCAGTGAGAGTAAAACTGAGCGGGAGAAATGGAGAGGGGGAGAGCGCGAGAGAGGAGAGAAGACTGCCATGCCCTGATTAACAATGGAGGGCGCGCGTGCATGTTTCATGATGGGATAATGGCAACCTCTCCCGGCGCCCTTGTTCCTCATGCTGATAATTATGACGTACACTCATTACCGTTGCTTACTATCGTACCGCCTCCCGGCCCTCCGCAGGGCTGCTCTCTCAAGGTGTTGCCAGGCCGATTTGGAAGCTGTCCATGCACGTGTCCCGAACTAAATGCGCCCGACATTTTTGTTATTTTATTTATTTTTTGCTAGATCAGTTTAAAGTTTTTCTCTCACTTGTTCCTCTTAATGTGACATTTGTTTCCCTTCCGCTCCACGCAGGACGGGTGGCGCGCGGAGCCTGGGCTCGTCCTACTCGCCCGTCACCGTGAAGAAGGAGCCGAGCGACCGCGGCTACGAGCGAGACCATGGTGGTGAGTAGTGCCGGGGGTTTGTTCGCAACACTCGAGTCAGCAGAGAACACCCTCTCGCTCTCGTCCTTGTGCCGTGCGGTCGACCTTGGTCCTCCCAGAGGGGCATTTCTAGTCTGACCACCCCGCCCGCCCCGCCCCG